CCGTCAGGATTCTTTTGCGGTGTCATCTACTCCCTTAATGGTNCTACAGAAACTGGTCGGCTACTGGACAAGTCAGGTAGCTGTAGGAGGATGAGAGTAGTACTCTGTAAGAGACTGTAAGAGTAGGAGCCAACCTAAAAGTTAGGGAAAGATTGGTAGGTGAACTACATTAGGTAGCTTACGATATCTCGATGATTCTGCTGATTACAGACAGCGGCATTCGCAAGAGGAGAGAAGGGCGTTAAGAAGTTGATATTCAAAGAGACGCCCTGGACGGCTACTCTGTACATCTTCGGCTTCCAGGACACTTCCGTCGACAACGAACTCTGACTCTGCAACTCGCCTTTACTATACTCTCGCCTGTAGTGTGTACTGTGCATGTATGTCTGGTATAGCTAAAGTTCGTAAACGATGGTACAGGATAGGCCGAGGCTGTTCGCTCACCAATATGAGAACAAAATGATTTCCATTAAGATCCGTAAGATGTTGCCACTTGTAATTCTTACTTCAGCTTCATGCCATTATTCTTTTTTGCCTTCCAAAGTGTATGTACTGTAGTTTGAACTCTTTTGCCCTTATCAGTCTGTCATTGTTGATTTTCCCATAAATCCGGTTGCAGTTTTTCCCACTTTTATGCATTCACTGTTATGCAACCCGATTTTTTTACCCTGAATGCTATACTATGTACACTTTGAAATTTGATTTTTTTACCGTTCAGTTTTAAGGTCTGATGTTTTAATGAAATTAACGATCTCATGGAAAGATCTAAACGACTGGAACTGTGGATCAACTGAAACTTGGGGCAATTCAACGTCAGAACTCCTTGTCTTCATGAAAGGCTCTCATCACCCTTCCATCACCTCCTCCGTCCTACTGTCTACCCCTCACGAAGTGTAGAAAGGCTGTCGTGCTGCCGAATTTACTTAACGTTGAGGTCTCCCTCTTCTTCTTACATTTAGATAGAATAATTAGTCAGATGTCAAAGATGTTTTTGATTATTACCATTGTTTATTACATTTTTCATCAAACGTCCAGGAAAAGGACGATAGAGTAAAACAAACAACAACAACGACAACAGTGATGATGAGCAGGCAGCCTTTGACAGTTCCTTCTTTTTCACAAGCCCTATTTCCGTTCGAGGCTATGTACCACACACACCGCAATATCACCTCCTAACACTGGATATCATTCCAAAAATCTCGCGATTGGACCGCTGAAGACCATCCACTGAGCTGATGACATTGTTCTGATAGCGGAGAGTAGGAAAGAACTAGAGGGCGAACTGTAAAAATGACAGGACGTACTGGCCGAGAAGAACAGCCCAAAAATAAATGTAGAATGGATGTAAAGAAAGGTAGACGGAACTCTTGCAAGCAGCAGTGTTGAAGAAACTTCTGAGAGAAGGTTACCAAACCGTCACAGTCACAAGAAATCTGTACCAGGCGGATTTCATCCCATTCCACGCCCCAATTAACTCTGAAAGGAACGGACTGGTCAACTTATTTTTGGGAGTGCTAGAGTTTACTGAAATCTGAAAGGTATCGGTCCGACCCTTGCTGCAGAGTATGGACTGATAACACCGCCTTCAGAGGCTTTGCTGACAATTGGGGAAAATACCAGAGCATGCATGTTAGACAACTCTTGGCCCAAGCCGGCACTGCGGATGAGAAGTAGAGGGCTGCACTAGCTTTTACAAGAGAAAACGACAGAGGACGATGTCGTGGCGATGATCAATCCCTTCGACGGTTGCGCCGCAACTTTCAACTTTCATTAGGATCTCACCGTTAGCAGTATGAATGCGTATCTGACCCATTCCACATTTTCGGAGGCCTGATGATATAGGAACGAATGCTTGCAGAATGAGATGGCATTTTATCGGCCCCTGGACAGATGGAGGCCTGGGAATTGCAGGAATTGATCCCTGAACTATACTAGTGGTAGCGGCGCCACCTTGGCACAGCCCCAGGTCCTCCCCACCAGATAAGATAACGCAGGAATCCTAGAAATGAGAAGGCACTGCATTTGAAATGATAGTACAAGGTTAATCAAAGCGCCATGTCCTTAAAGTTGTCCTCGTTTCGAAATCCTGTGCCAAAGCAAAGGCGATAATCCAAGGTTTGCTTTGCGTCCACAAGCGGATAGCAAACGACCATCACTTCGATTTTTTTTTTAACTACGATACCATACTGTCGTATACACTGCTTCGGATTATTACGTTTCAAACCGGAGCTACAATAGAAGAATTTCAAGGGAAAAAACAGAGAAGTCGTTTGTTGTGTAGAACTTTCTGGTCAACCGGGCTTGATAGATATAGCTCATCGCAGCCACAATGGATTACACTTCATTGAATGCTACAAGCAGTTCGGTGGGATCATACACATTGTTTTAGCCTAATGAAAGCGAAAGATGATGACAAACACCTCAGAAGTAAGCCCGCTGACAATGTTATACAAGAGCACGGATACCCTTTTCTGAAAGTGAAAACCTCGAATGGTGGTTCAGGTTTTTATGTCGCTCAACTTTTGAATTTTGTTGATCTTTAACAAACGCTCAGGTGGACCGTATGGCTGCGAACATAATACGCCAACAGTCTGTGGCGGTTCGCCAAGTATCTCAACTGTAAGCGAACCACGTTGAAGCTGAAGTGAACAACGAGTGTAGCCTCACGTCTGAACGAATGGGCCTGAGATTGAAGAGAGTATTCCATACCATTTTAAGTTGCAGGAGTAAAAATAGTCTTTCGCTTTGTCACGTCGACATTTAAGTTAGAAGTTAATGCTCCTGTGAGTCATAAGGTGTTCTCCATTCGGGGAAATCTTCTACAACTTCTTCTCCCTACCGTTTACTCGCACGGTCGCAGGTTCGGCTGGCTCCTGTTACTTTTCTCTATCGCCGGTCTGCTGCATCTTTTGCCGTTACTCAAAGGCACAGCTCACGATAAAAATGGTCTTTGATATTTCCGTATAGTATGAATTCGAGGCTCCCCCTTATGCCATACCTGCCGTTATAAGGTCGAAAAACGTCATGGATGGTGCACAACAAGGGCCAGATTGTATTGTGTGAATGCCACACCCCTCGTGGACGGGTCCCATTTGCTTTGTAGAGGCTGCACTATCTCAAGAGACTACCATGTAGAAAGTTCAAACAACTTGTCATAACCTATGGCGACAGTAAAAGACAGTTTCGGACAATTTCGACTTGATGTAGTCATCTCTTCGAGCAATGAGAGCAAGTTAAATCTCGTCCATCACCTCTTACATGCCATTACATCACGCTTATATCGTACAACCTGCACTTCCGCTACTTTTAAAAATCCTTTAAGTAGGTGGATTTTCTCGTTCTTCGCCACCGCTGTACTGCTTTACGTCAACACTTCCACTTTTCTACCTAAAAAGGGTACCTCAAAATTATCGTGAACTGTGCTTTTAACTTCGGAGAGATTCCTCTACCTCCTAACTCCATCTTTTCTTTGGGGCTCGTGGTCGATTTTCTTCAGCTGCAAAGTCCAGCTTCTCTAATAGGATGAATTTATGTACTTCGCAGCATGTGCCCGTACCATTGTAGCCGCGGTTATCCTATCTTCAGCTGTTTTGAGTTCCCTGCACGATTGTCCGGGCGACCTCATTTCTGACCGATCTCACCGTGTCCATCCGAAGGCCCATCTCAACATCCTCATCTCCGCAGAGGATGTTTTCCTTCATGATTAGTACCCACTGACCAGCACTCGCTGCCGTAGACCATCGTAGACCAGTATCCGAAAATTGTAAGGCTGATAGGATAAAACAACCTGAAACAACCCCACAGAACCCACGAATATCAATGTAGGGGTCGATATTTATAGCCAAGATCGTGCCTGTAAGGTCTTCTGAATACAGTGTACTCGGTCGCTTGGATACTGTAAAAGTAAGTAAGAGTCAAATGTCATAGCTCTGTACAACCACATAATCACATTTGATATATGAGGCTTTTCGAGACTTTCTATGCTATTGCCAGCAACTCACGCCACCGGCCAGTACTGACAAGTGGAGATCTAAGCTGGCCCATGGACTAGAACCCCTTAGTGGAATAGTATCGGCGATCACTATCCACTACACCAAGGATGCCGTTTCCTGGTGGTCCGACGCTTTTTTATGAACAGATAGATCACCACTGCCCCAATACCTTTCTGAATGAGCCAATCCACGCACCTTCTTGCAACTAGAAAATAATCAGCTTTTTCCTCATCTGATCTTCTTAACAACTGTAAATGACTAATAGACCGAACTCCCTCCTTTTATCGTCGAACTGAAAAAAACTTTTTTTCCTATTACTAGAAACCATAATCATAACGATCAGGTGTACAGTGTTAAAGATAAGGAGTTCAATCATTGTCATAATAGTCCTGACAGAAACAGAGGAAACCATGCTAGTATCAATCCATTTTTGGGAATTGAAAGGGTGTCTCAAACTTCAGAGGGTGCTAGAGCAATAGCGTGCTCCAATTACAATGCTCGCTATACGGCTAGAATTGGGTTCTGGCTATTTGCCAGTGCGATGGCCGAAGCAATTTTCCTTTCTTTATTACTTTTTCCTTTTTTTTCCGTTCATATATATGAATGAAAAGATTTGTCTGGATCTGTATAAGCCAGTTTATTAAGTGATTACGATCAGACGATCGAAATAATGATGCCATGTTGGTTGTAAAACATATGACATAGTAGCACCTGGTTTTGGTTCGTTTTCAGTAAATTTTAACTGCGAACATGAAACATATCGTACGAAGTTAACTCCAAGCCGAACTGTTGTTATATTTCGTGCCTATGTACTGTTTGGTGTGTTTGTCGCGGCCATCAATATAATAGGAACCGATGATCATATGAGTCACTTGTGAAGGCTAGCAACAGACTAACCGTTCATACCGTTTATTTCATCTTTGTTTGCTTATATGAATGGACCACTCTAATTTGTTTGAAAGATTCTGAAAACTTTTTTTCCAAAAATAAGCGTTTCAGAGTTGTTTGATGCAAAACGAACTGTTGGACCCACCTTTATCACAAGGTGTTATGCAACATGTCACCCTGCCACCACAACCGATGTCAGGACCTTTATCAGTGAGTGTTTTTTCATACAGGTTCTTTCACTATTTTTACTTGACTTTTACTAGAGATGGAAAATCAGAATTCTCCCGAAGTCTGTTTTAACTTTGTTGTAAAGCTAGATCATCTATAGCAATCGGTTTCCTTCTTTTCTTGTTAGCTTACTTGTTCGGTAGGATATGGTTCTGCAAAGGAGGTTGGAGTTTTTCTCAGGTTCATAGCATGAATTTTGAATCAAAATTCAATTTCCATCCTTATCGAATTACTTGGCACCACAAATCTTTCTATATTCCTACTGCCACAACAGAGATGGCACAATTCTCTTGCTGGGCAGAGGGTCGCGTCAACTCGCTTCGAAGCTGAAAATGTCTTAGTTGTTTAGCAGGACAGGACTCGACAACTCAGTTTTACAATTGTAGTGGTACATTACACTGCTCGATCGAACGTGTAAATTGCCCCAAAATCACTACTCTTAGGTCTTGATATCTATGTATGTATTGCTGTATATGTATTGATGAAAGAGATTTTTCACACGTCTCATTCAACTTTTTTTATTTTGGGAGCTAGTACACTCATAAAGAAGATTTCATGTAGGTGAACATTAAAAAGTTTTGTATCTACTTTCGAAAAGTTCATTTTTTCGGGACAATTTTAAGTTCTCCATCGCGCGTGATTTCAGCAACCCCCAACTTCTTCTATTGCTGAGTCCGAGCAAACGGATCCGAATCGAGCTAGGAAGGCAAGGAACATATTCCACTCTAATAGTTCGAACTTATTGCTTGTCTAATTAAAGGTGGCAGAAGTTTTTCTTACTGCTGGACATGCTTTTCAAAAACTAGGCGATTTGGCGATGCAACTCCACATGGGTCCATCGTCTGTGCCTAACGAGGAGTAAGTTGATTAGTTTTTGTGAATCTTCCTTTCTTTCACTCATATCGGTTGTACGAATTTTTGTTCAGTCTCTGTTTTGTTTCTAAAATTCTTCATTGATGGCAAAAAACCAAGCGGTTTGCACGGATTCGTTGCGAGTGATGCTGCTGGCAGTATATGGCGTTATTTATAAAAATCGAATGGATGATATTGACTCATTGTGCACTGCAGGAGATGGAGCGAAAATAATGTGGATCATCTAAGGGAAGCGCTAACTCGTTTCGCTCACGAACTTGACCAAATTAGCAATAATGTGCAAGCACGAACAACGTAAGTGATACTCAAGAAGAACTGCAAAACTTGTTATCTCAAACGCGTCTTTACATTTCAGGAAAATGATCAGTACGGATATAAGGCGAAGGCATATGGCTCCTCAACGGCCGGTGGCATCGGCTATTTCGACTTTGAAACGTCAACCTACCAGACTTGGTCCTGTGATTGTTCCCAAACGTCTGAATGTTACCAGGAGTGCCACAAGGGTAAGTGAGGGGAAGTCTAATCAGAAGATTCGTATTCTTCCTTATGTTGCATGGTGCTCGGGTGTCATTTTCACATTCCTCTTCATAATTTCATTTCGCCCTGACTGAATTGGTTTTATTAGATTCACTCAGATAGGTGACTCTGCATAAATTCCTTTCTTTCGCAAGCGTTCTATGGTTAGATGGTACTTGCTTGAATTTTAATCTTTCAGCCACAGTACGTTCAGCCCGGACGGCTAGCGACAGCCCCTCCCGCAATTTCGCAAGTTATTGTCCCCACTACGAAAACCTATCCAATGACGCGGACGACTTCATCGACATTTGCTGGTCAGCGGCAGTACTTGATGCCACTGACACAACCAGGTCCGTCACGGACAATCCCTGTGGTGCCGTCACGTATACAGAACCAAACACCTATTCACCATTCCCAAAATTCGATGGCTTCACATCAAGGCCCACCCACTTTGGTGCCAGTGATAATGGACGATGCCCCACCGCCATTGGATCGGCGGATATGATTTCAGGTAAAGATGTTCTTTTGTGATCAGTTAAGTAATTTATTTTGACTTTTTTGATGCCTCATTTCAATCATACGATGCATTTTTTTTATTGCCTACGGAAACGGTTACCACGTGGATACCATCGCAGACAATCAATCAAACTTAGCTTCTTGTATTGGAGTGACTTTGGTTTTGTAGTCTGTAAGTGACTTTTCAGTGCGTACCTTTTCTTTGTCGTGGGGAGGAGATGTCGGAAACTTGAGTGCCGTACGATGAACCTTTTTTACTCGGGTGTGTTTTTCTTTGGTTTCATCTTGCATCGTACATCTTCTTATCGTTTCTCTCTATCGTTTTTCCCCTTTTCACTTAATTCATGGTGATAGTGCAGTCGCAGAGCATTGGTATGTGTAAAGATCTGTCGACTGGATCAATCTCTAATGATATCTCTTTAAGGCGCTTTTTAGTGTTCCTCGAAAGTGCTAGGTTACCTTGTTATGCAGAATCCTGATTGGCTTGAGATACGCGATTTCGCTGTTGGTCTCTTCCTCAAAAAGTAAACCGCCAAGGGCTTACCTGGTTGTTGCAAACAAAATAATCTGCATGAGTTCCTAAATATCATATCTGCCCTTTCGCTTTTTGGTCTAAAAAGGTTTTCTATTTACTAATTTTTTCATGATTCTTATATACATATTGTGGGCTTTTTCAGATTTTGTATTCGACTTTCTCTGGACATTGATGTGGATGGATTACTCTGTCGAGTTCTGATGGGACCAATGCATTTTCGTCTACGCTCGACATGCATACGTCCTGGTCCCGTCACCGATATTGCATCTGTTCAAACCTATTTCTTGGAGAATTCGATTTCTTCTTGGTGCTAAGACTCATATCACTCTGCTAAGATTTTTAAAAGTGAACATCTGCTTTTATTTAAATTGTGCTACTGCTCTTACCAGAAGTAGCCTACGTTCCACAGAATAGCGTCACCCGGAAATTTTGATTTTGAAAGTCTATATATTTTGATGCGGTTTTCATTGGATTTTTATATTTTCACTCGTGTCTTTCTCTTAATACTGCTGCGAAGTTTATGTAAACCGCGGCAAAATCATATGAGCTGCCCAAGGGTAACTTGCAAACAACTACAGACCGCCTACCATTTGTGCATTCATATGCATAATCCCTACAACTCTAAGTAGTACAAGGCATACATCGGGTTATACTGAGAGTTTAAACTAAGTTTACCCCTCAAATATGGGCGACAGAATGTACCGAATCGCTGCTTCATCTATCTTGAGCTAAATTAGAAGGAGGTATAAAGTAGGCTGAGGGTCACATCACAATTGAGAAGTTGTAGGTAACAACAAATGCGAGAAAAGTTGGAAGAGTTATTGTTCTAAGATGTTCTTTTCTATGGTGTGCGTGGGCTAATTATGTGCTTTATCTCCCTATACGCTCAGCGTGATGGTTCCGAAGAGGATAGAGGTCACATCAAGTTTCTTTAAACTATGGACCGTACTTTCCTATGGACGCTTTTCCGTATTACGAAAACAGAATAATGAACTTTGCAAGTTACCACAATCGCTCCTTTATTTAACCGGAAAACTCGTGCGACGCACAGATTGTGTGGTATTTATCAATTGTTTACACCGCATAAGTTTTCCTCATGTTCGAGCCCCCCTGATTTCACTTGTTAGCTGTTCAATATGGAGTTGGAGGAGCTAGGATTGGTGAACAGTCCTATTCATAAGGTGATAACGTTCAGTGCCGATTTGAGCTCCATTGTATTACGGCTCTAATTTTTGCCTACATTCATTTTAGTTGTTTTTCTAACCATTAGCTGATTAGCTTTTCTATTGCAAATCTTCATTAGATGTGCCACATGACTACTACTACAAGTCTTTATCCCGGCGCCAAATTAGCTCGCCCGTGTCTCTCATGGTCTTGATGCCTTCAAGATGACTCTGATGACATAGCCTTTTAAGTTATGTTGTTGTACAGTGTATTATTTTCACTAGCATTGCATAGAGGTTCTTAGTTGGAAATTGCTGTTGATTATTTGTTACTTACTCTCGATGAATTTCTTATACATTCGGGATGTTGCGGATAAGGCATGTAACCTTCCTGGTAGAAGTCAAATACTCGAACCTGCATGTAACCTTCCTGGTAGAAGTCAAATACTCGAACCTAAGTTCCATATTCGCAGAGAATGACAAATTATTTGGCGAGAGGGAAGGGGTGGGGGTTGGATACGGGTGTTCTGCATGTGCAGTACAAAATTACCGACTTACTTTCAAGTTTAAAACCTTTAGACAAGGAAGTATAGCTGCTAACATGATACTATACGGTAATAAAAAATCAGGTGAAATATGAGAATCCAGAATGTCTGGAAGAAAAGGTAACCACTGTACAGAAGAAATTTGCTGGTAGGAATCAACATGGTTTTTTAAAGGCGTTCTCCATCGGGAACTGTTCCCGGAGGGGCAGAGCCTCACAAAGATGTGTACGTGGACTATTTGGACGCAACTATCCAATGCCTTCTATTTACTGAGCCTCCTTTAGAACAATGAACAAAGAACAAGTTTCGTAAAATCTCGAGGCACAACTTTTAAAATAACATATTTATTTACGGTAACATTATATACAAATACCCCAAATAGATGCTCTTGATTGACGATTACGGTAATACGGAGAAAGTTGCAAATGGCTACGTTGAAAGGCTGTCTTAATGAGGCAGTTCGCCCTTTTAAAACATTCAGGCACAGTTCACGGTAAAAACGGTGCCTTAGATTCCCCCTAGAGGCACCCATGGTCTAAATGGATAGCACGTCGGCATCGTCGGCGAAAAATGACTTTCACAGAGCGTCTTAAGGGCTCAAATTTGCTATAACGACGAACACGTCCAAAAGTGGACGTGTTAATATAGCCTTGTTTAGGCTGCACTATTCACAGTGAAGCCCGAGGACACCGAGGAATAGTACGCTCACGTGGGAGACACTCGACGATTAGAGACACATTATTTCGTACTTCCCTTTCTTACTTCTTTTTGAAGCCACAGAATTTTTAAAATCCGATTTTCGGGTTTTCTCGGTTATGCTTGCACTAATCTGCGCCATAACTTCCATTATTTCACTTAGACTGGTTACCTCAGATTTATCGTGAACTGTGCCTTGGGATTAGATGCGCGCGTCTAATCGATATCTATTCTTCCGAATGCGTTGAAGGGGCGATGAAAAATAAGCATGCAAAAAGCGAAGGAACAGTATGGAGCATAGAAATAACCTATCATCTGTTTATATACAATAAAATTAGAGATCATCCACCGGAAACAAGGCACCCATAGGCACTTTGAAAACAGAAAATACACCCGTCTTGAACTAAAGCTAAAACCTACTGTAATAGCTGCATGCACTAATCCTATCAGAATGATATATTCAAGCGTATTGGGTGAGTTTCTGTTGTTTTTCGGATACCCTTTGAGGACACTGCCGACGACATCGGCAGCGAAGAAGAAGGCAGATAAAGGGAAGTAGCACGATGAAAGCGCCGATGAGGAGACATTCAGGACGGAAAATGATGTCGAACTGAGATGGAAGCACTGGTTGAATGAGGACTCGCACTTCGGCCGAGGAATCTCGTCCGATTAGGTCGTAGTTGATCAGACGGACCATGTATTCACAGTGGTGTCCAGGAAACGTCACTTCAGCAGAGGTAGATGCCTGGAAGGGCTTGAATTAGGTTTGACATAGATTGCGGTATATTACCTTTTCAGGCTGACTTCGGTGGTTTCCCTACTGGATAACCATCAAAGTTGGGTTCCACTATAGCCAAGGGCTGGATGCATCAGAAACTTGGGAGCCACTCCCCTCAACACTCCGAGCCACTCACTCCTTCTGGGATGGCTACCATCTAGGACGTTCCATTATCAAACATCGTGTTAGGACCTACCGCTCTGACGTTGATCGTCTCCGGTTGAACTTGACACTCGTACGCACTTGAAACGGCATGGAAGACGATTTGATAGAAAAGGATGTTCTGAGGATCAGCCGATGGAGTCCATGAGACAATGCCTGTTCCATTCGGTCGAACGACGACATTTAGGTCAGATACCGGCTCAGGAGCTAAATCGTCAAAGCATAATCCAACTATCTTACACATCCCAGTAGAGATCTCAGCAACTTACGGCATTGAAGACTTCCACGGCCATGAACGTCTTTGCACTGAAGCGATCTGAAGTTAGCAGTAACCGGTTTGCTCATTTGGAGCTTGTCTACTGAGATCGCAGAAATTGTGACGGCATAGTCGGTTTCAAACTCGAGCTCAGGCAGCAGAATGGAAGTGGATGAATCCTAAAAGAGGAAAGAGTTCAGGCCTCAGGAATTCCCGATGGCTACTGCATCCAACTGACCAAAACGATGTCACGAGTAGCTTGGGTAGAACCGTTACTGAGGTGTAGCTTGTAGTAGCACGAGTCCTGTGGTGTTCGAGACCATTCAAGATGAGCAGTCACTCCACGATCCGAGTTGTAGCCGTTTTTTATGATCAACGGAGCAGCTAGAAGGGAGTCATTACTGGTTAGTAGGTGAGTAACACCGTTTCACAGTCGCTGCCCGCAAAGTTCCGCTCTTCTTACCTGGAGGCTTAGGCCCAGAGATGCTCGAAACGGACGTCCATGGGCTAGTAATCGTTTCACCGAGTCGACCAGCTGGTCCAACTGCAGTGACCATGAAGCGATACTGCACAGCAGGAATCAGTCCTTTCACTTGGAACAAAGTACTGGATTCAATCTGAAGCAAAAGGTGAACTGGAACCTTCAGATGTTCATTTTACGGTTAAAAAATCGTACCGATGCAGTAATCCACTGAGTTTCCTCATAGTAGCCCATGGTTTGGGTACGTTGCTTCCACTGAACAACGAACCTGGAATCATCGGGATTAGAGTGAGGTCCAGAGCTCAGGGGCCATTTTTTTAGCTGCCGTGGCGTAGTAACAGAGACTTGCAAACTTTCAAGTGAGGATCGGTTGACTGAACCTTCCCTGATTTGGTAACTCTGTCCTCCATAGGAGGAACCCTAAGGAAGTGAATGAAGTGGGAAAGGGGGGGGGGGGGGNAGCGATGAATCTCCTTGAAGGAACAAGTGAAGGAACAAGCGGTTGGTAGCTACCGCTTCTACCGGGAAGGGAATGCGAGAAGTGGGAAAAGGGAGGTGCTGGGTGATCTGCTACTTACTAACAGAGGCATTGGCTTCCATGAGAAAGTAATGGTTTTGAAAAAACGTTTCAAACTGCTTCTAGTCCTCCCAAATCGAATCAGATCGCCAAAAATCGACAGAATTGACCGAAAGAAATGACTTCATGTACATTACTCATTTCATTCATTCCTTTTAGAAAAGGCAAAGAGAATTTTGCGAAGGCCGGTGGCGGCGTGAAACGTACTTTGTTGGTCCACTGGGTCTGAGCAGAGAAATGCTGATGAAGCCCTCAAAGGATTCTCCAAGTTCTTCATCTGGTGACGAATTCTGACACAGTAGCTGTACAGAAGAGATCAAAGTCGAGCCGGCTTTCGCTGAAACAATGTCAGTTATCCCGTGGCCATGAGTGATCGCCCAAAAATTGTTGGATCAAGTCGTTCGGTAAGATAACGAACCGCTATCGGCACTGCTTTCGATCCAGAATTGAAGGCCATCACTGACTGCGGATTTTGTAGGTCCACGCTGACCTTTGCCATGTATGCGGCGATGCTGATGGCAACCGGATTCACACTAGAACGATACCTTATGTACCGTACCCCATCATAAACAGCGCTATGAAAGCATTTGAAATCGACTTACAGCTTCACAGTCATTGTTGTGGACATCGAGAAATTCCTCGACAGATCCGTCCAGAAGTTGACGAGTTGCTGGCGTGCCATACTAAATATTACGGTATTGATCTTGATGGTAGTATAAGAAAAATTGGGTGTGCTTGAGAAGGTGGTAGACTTAAACGGATCCTAGGTCATTCCCAATTGGTTGGGTTGCCGTGCAGTCCGAGAACTCACCAATGAGGAGTGTGAAGGAGCCTGTCAGTCCTGATGTCAGCTTTTAAAGAACACACTATACCCACGACCTCTGGGATTATAAAGATCTGGTCCATTACCTTTTGAGCACATTTCGCTTGGCACTGTGCCAGATGGAAATAATGTGCGTAATCAATCTGGATATATGGTAGAACGGTAAATGCGAATACCGTTTGCAGTAATGCCGTCAATATGAGTAAGGGGCGCATCGCTAGCCTGAAAAGTAATCATTCGGAGCAGTTTATGTAAGCTAGTGGAAAGAAGCAACGAAAGAGTCAACAGATACGAATAACTGGAAGCAGGAGAAAGTGCAATAAGCATGAATGGATGTCAAGAAAGTTATGGCAATACTGGCAATTACTTATAAACCGTGAGAAAACTGTAAAAACTGACGTTAATAGTATGGGTGAGTGTGGGAAAGGTAATAAAAGTGGCGCGGTTATAGAGGAGAACGTGGCAAGAATGGATTGGCAGGAAAAAGGCGAGAATCGCTAGCTTCTTCCACAGCAACTGGCAATTTCAGAAATTTCCGAAAATGGATACTGCGGTGACATGTTGGCCAAAAACAAGGAGTATCGTGGACTGGGTACTATTCCAACATCGTTATCTCCATTCCCAGCTTACGCACCCTTATTAGTCTATTACTACGGTTTAATAAATAATGGAAAGGGATGTGATAGGGCTTACTAGGGAGATGGGGCTCTAAAGGAGGACCCAGTAGTAAGGGTTAGTACCATCTGTGCTTACTCGTAGGACGAACTCAGCCCTCCTAGTCTTGGTAGACTTATTTGCACATCTTCGATAGGCTACCACAGACTTCGAATCCCACTCAAAGGGAAAATAGTATTTGAGACCTCGGAATAACCTCGAAATTAAAGGTTGTCATCACGTTTTTTTGGACTTCTGTCAAGATTACGATGGGAGATCACCGGGCTAGGAATTACTTCAAAGATAAAAACTCTTACATCAATGTAACGAAGCTGCAAGAAGTGATCAAAAATCTGCCAGATTACAACAGTACAGGGAGGGGAGGGTATAAATCTATTTCTGTGAACTTTTCCAGGAAAAAAAGTCTAAGAATCTGTCTGGGATGAAAAAACGAGTCTGGGAAGCCATTAGCTTCAATTAAAGCGTTGCAGGGGACGAGAACAATCAGTATGAGAAATGAATTTGTTGGATAGGTTTTGTTGAACTGAATGAGTTTCAAGGGATTTCGGCTTGGCAACGTAGGCGGCAATAATCATCAACGAATGAATGGGATGAGAACTCACTCGAAACCACTCTCGTCTATCACGGATTCCCCACTAATCATGAGCGGCGCTTTTATGGCTGAGAAGGGTGTGAAGCGGCTGCCATTAAAAGCCATGCAGTTTATCGCTAAAAGCCATTATAGATTTGTCAAATACAGATAGTTTAGGGAGTAACCGGAGAAGAATGAAATTTGAGGCTTTTGACCAGTCTCGTGACTTCGTTTTGCCCTTGCATGGGTTACAACTGGGAGGTTTATGTTAGGAAGGAAAAAGCCGTAATGAATGATTTCTGGAAATTTTTGCGAACCTTCGCAGTCCTTACACCTATTTAGTAGGCTCACATTACTCTTCTAAGAATAAGAGAAATTCTCCAGCTATCATCTATCCCATTCAGAGATTTGCCCAGGTATGCGACTTCTATTCAGAATCGTAGTTGCAAGTGAATCTGTATAGGATCTATACAGTGACCTGGCGGTGTCAGCCGATGTACAAGTCAGTACTTTTACCTTCCTAGATGGGTTTGGCTAGGACTTACAGGCCCCAAAATTTAAGAACCTGCCTAGCAAGAAGCATTCCTATATCCAATCTCCAGACATACTCGTGAAAGTGCGCCCCATAACACTTCCTCCTTTACCAATTATTAGACACGCATTGAATTACTATTATTAAAATTATATCATCTCAAAAATACACCAGCCCTTAGCCGAAGATGCACCCGGAATCTGATGCTCATTATCGAAATTAGCGACAAAGCTTTCTATCCAGCGTGTTACTTTCGCTGGGGGGTCATAGCCATTCCGTCAACCTCTACGTGGAAATCAAAATGATTGGGCTATTGCTCCGAAATAGAGATCAACAGCTGACCATAGCTCACAGGGCAAGTTGTAGGGGTCCCATTTGAAAAGGGGTAATAGTGGCACTGACATTTCCAAAATTGTAGCAGTAGGAGAAGTAGTGACAAAAAGTTGTGAGTGAGGTGGTGTGAGTCCTGAAGTGCACTCTACTTAGCCCAGACTTTAAAAGCCATTCTCAAGTCAATAAATTAGGATTAACGAAGGCTTGTTGGATAAAAATGTGTTTATAAGAGAGACAGGGAATAATGTTTCGAAAAAGGGAATGGGAAAATACTGTGGGTGTTTTGTCCCGTTCTACTCTGACGGTTCACTTCGTTTGCCTACTCGGGCGGACCACTTCGTTTGGAAGCAAAGTTTTACCAGTTTGTGCTGCTTACGTCAACCACTGGTTCCTGTCCAGGTAATGAGGACTGTGACCAAGGGAAGGGGTTCCATGAACCCCTACGATTTGGACTGTACTCCAAGGTTTATATGGTGGAGTGCTTCTTCAAAGATGGACAGAAATCTCGTACATTTTATATTATAGTAATAAATCATGTCCGTTTATACTTTGCGTGGAGATTCCCCTCAAGTTACTGGCCCCACCAAAATTTATTTTACAAGGTAATTCTAAGTCTATAGATAACCGTGAGCTGCATTCCAACTTGGCCGGCGGTTCCATTCAAATTATTGGTTTGCGCGAGTTGAAACGGGGTGAGCCTTTTTTAACGACCTCATCAAGTTACCAGGCAGAATCTAATGATGTCTACGTGGCTGAGTAAAGTGCACATATGGGCATTACCCATTTTCCACCCCATGCTTCCGCCTCATACCGAAAATAACCCGATCCCGATTCCTATGGTAACAAGTTTTTTCAGCTACAAAGATGGGAAAATGCCTTATGAACAAGTAGCTGCTAAAGAATTCCAACTTCCAATTCGAAAACTACTAGTTAGACCATCAGAGCTTTCCCAAGGTGTGAGGGACGCGACTGAGTGGCTTCGAACGACTCAACGGCTTTTTACCTAAATTCCTTACTGGCTTTGAATGGCCATCCAGAATCGGTAATAGTTAGCGAAGATGAATAGCTCAGTGATTAGTCAATAGATAAAAGCTTCTGAGTTGTGAGTTCTCAGAAGAGGTAGGTAGCCTATTAAGCTAGAGCTGGGTTCGACCTCAAAAATCAACGTGACGTTGAGGGCGCATTATGCCACTGCTCCAAAGGAATATGTCCATTTTTTATTTCTACTCCATACTGTTGAGCTCTTCGAAAGAGGAGGAGTAGCTTAGTATAAAAAAAACTCTTGACATCCCATTACAGCCTATAATTAACTCTCCACAAATGTCGGCCCGTGATCATAGTAATTATCAGTGTTTTTGATTAAGTCCTTGGAAAATCAAGGTCTTTCCTTCTCGGTCGACGTTACGGCGGAATCGCCTTGCAAGGAACCCGTAAAGTAGGAGGCTTGTTCGTGATCGTTCACGCCGAATACTTTTCAAATCGCCAAAAAATTTAAAAACTCTTTGTGATTTGAGAAGTGATTAACCGAAATTCCGACTTAGGAGGCTCTGATTTTGCAAAAACCCCAGTCGATATAAGCTGTTACCAATCTTGGAGGGGCAAAACCAGAGCACTAAAAACGACAATCAGGCAACAAAAACGACAACAAGCTAGAAATTGGACTCGTGCGAAATGTTAGAGGCAGTGAATCGGAGCGGATAGTAGTTAAAAGTCGCAATTCGNTTGCAAAAACCCCAGTCGATATAAGCTGTTCCCAATCTTGGAGGGGCAAAACCAGAGCACTAAAAACGACAATCAGGCAACAAAAACGACAACAAGCTAGAAATTGAACTCGTGCGAAATGTTAGAGGCAGTGAATCGGAGCGGATAGTAGTTAAAAGTCGCAATTCGAATTTCCAGAACGGAAACGGAGGAATGAATCTAAAATTTAAAGTGAAGGAGGGGACAGGCGGAAGCCGAAGAACTGGAAACGGGGATCGTAAACAGTAACACCTCGTGATGCATGGCGTGAGAATTAGGGATTACGGGGATCGCAGGAATGGCGGATGCGAAGGCTGACTATACTAGTAACAAGGATTCCCCTATGTATTGAACCAGCTCTGTTTAGCTTGACGAATGTAACAAAGCGGTAAGAGTCTGTGTGGAGCTCAAGGAGGTAGGAGTTCATGATGAGCTCATGATGAGGATTTGGAAATAGTAAAATGCTCATTAATACATCGAAACGAGCGGTATAGTCAGTGAATTTCAGAAATTTTTGGAAAAAAGTGGTAAGGTCATTGTCAGCCCAGCTGAATACCACCAGTGTCATCGAGGGTGGCGTAAGGAGCTGTCAGTGCGTCGGAGCCAGAGTTAACCCTCGCGACAGGTCATCTGGGACAAATGCCACCAGCATTTTTAGACACAATTGAACAATGTGTGAGTAGACGATGACAAGGTCCGTGTAATTACGGCGATGACATAACATCGTGCTGGTGTCAATTCACACAATAGACAGTTCGTGCGAGGCGAACAAACAGCTGAGATGACGTAACCCCCGAAGCAGTAACCTCGGCCCCAAGGTGGGAGTCACAAGCGAGCTAATGCAAGTGGGACAGGTTTCAGTGACCTTTCCGAACAGGTATGATGACAGGACCAAGAATGTGGTCAATATAACACCTCTAATACGGTCTGGAAGGGACTCATGGTCAGATTCTGCCCTAACCATTGAGGTACCTCTGGAAGTCAGGAGTCAGCGGCAAAATTATTCGACCGTATAAGAGGGACTGATATGAGCTCTGAAGTGCTGCTACTTGCCTCAAGAGGGCCTTTGTCTATATTAAGACTGCTTTTCCTTTGAAGAAGCTTTATGCCCTTTTAATTGACTGAAAATTTTCTTCTATTGGCCACTTGAACCCTCTCTCTACTTGCCCGTCCTACCGAATCCTAGCGAACTGCTCTGAAAACCCATTCCTTCACTGACCCCGGCTCACCTAGGACTCTTAGGGTGTAGTCGAAAACTGAACTGTTCAAGGGAGAGGGGTCGAATCATGCCCTTTCCTTCTGACTATTGTATGGATATTACTAGAACATTACTTTTGATATCCTTCTTCAGGTTATATCGAATT